ACACTTATTAGATGCATTAAAGCCCAAATTACCTAAAACCTTATTTGATCACTTTAAATTGGCTTAACTTAATATGATAGCATATAATATACAATTATTATTATATATGTATATATGCACGTCTAAAATCTAACAATATATATATATATATATATATATATATCACTTTATAATTGTATCTTAAAATATAACCTTTATGAGCCCAAAATCTGTGTTATCGTATCCAAAAGCTTCTCTGAACAATCTCGTCCATTAATTATGTTAACATAGGATCAAGGAGATCTTTGTTACATGTATCGTAACTAGACCCATCCATGGTCACGTATATCAACATAACCAAATGACATATATCAAGTATGGATATGTAGCATGGAAATTACATGTAATGTGATCTAAACATGCCTATTTCTATTTGGACCAACTTTATTCTTTATGAGATCAAAACAAAAACTGAATCATAGTGAAAATAAACTGCATACTTTATTTCTATAGATAATATCCATAAACAAAAGATGTGTCTATAACAGAAAAGCATATAAATACATACTCCCACTAATTCAGCATATCGTCAAATGATACAACACCCATATGAGCAGTGTGCTCATGAAAGACCTTAGGTGGTAGCCCTTTAGTAAGTGGATCTGCAACCATGGAGTTTGTGCCAATATGCTCTATAGACACCTAACCACTCTGAACTCTTTTCTTAACAACTAGGAACTTGACGTCTATATGCTTTGACTTCGTCGAGCTCCAGTTGTTATTGGAATATAAGACTGCTGACTTATTATCACAAAATAACTTAAGTAGTTTTTCAATTCCATCCACAATTCGCAGCCCTGTGACAAAATTCCGCAGCCATATTCCATGGTTGGATGCCTCATAACATGCTATAAACTCAGCTGCCATGGTGGAAGAAGCTATGAGTGTCTGCTCTGCACTCTTCCAGGAGATAGCTCCTCCAGCAAGTAGATAGCTATAGCCTGAAGTGGATCTATGACTGTCTTGGCATCCGGCAAAGTCAGAATCTGAATACCCAATGATCTCTAACTTATCCGACCTCCTGTATGTGAGCATGTAATGTTTTGTTCTCTAAAGATATCACATTACTCGTTTGGCTGCTTTCTAATGATCCATTCCCGGATTGCTCAAACATCTGCCTAACATCCTAACAATGTACGCAATATCCGGACGCGTACAAACTTGAGCATACATTAGACTTCCAACTACTGAAGAATAGGGAATCTTATGCATTTCCTTAGTTTCAAAATCTTTCATAGGGCATTGATCGAGACTGAACTTGTCTCCCTTAGCAACAGGGGTGTCTCCTGGTTTGCAAACTTGCTTGCCAAATCTCTTAAGTACCTTCTCAATATAAGACTTTTGTGATAATCCAAGAATACCCCGAGAGAGATCTCGGTGTATTTGAATTCCTAATACAAAAGATGTGTCCCCAAGATCTTTCATCTCAAATCTCTTTGATAGAAATCTCTTAGTTTCGTGCAACAAACATATATCGTTACTGGCAAGTAATATGTCACCGACATATAAAACTAGGAAAATGTGTTTACTCCCACTGAACTTGTGGTATATACAATCATCAACCGCATTCATCTCAAAACCAAATGAGATGACAACTTGATAAAATTTGTAATACCATTAACGGGATGCTTGCTTAAGCCCATAGATGGACTTCTTTAATTTGCAAACCATATTATTTGCATCGCTACAAAGTTTTCTGGTTACACCATGTAAATCGTGTCATCAATGTCACCATTAAGAAACACAGTCTTTACATCCATCTGATGCAACTCAAGGTCAAAATGTGCCACTAATGCCATTATTGTCCTGAAAGAGTCTTTCGATGAAACCAGAGAGAAAGTCTCTTTATAATCAATGTCTTCCTTTTGAGTAAAGCCCTTTGCAACAAGACGAGCCTTATATCTCTCCACATCACCTTTCGAATCCCGCTTGGTCTTAAATATCCATTTGCAACCAATGGGCTTCGCACTTTCAGGCAATGAGACGAGTTCCCAAACGTCGTTGTCTTTCATGGACTTAATCTCTTCATTAATGGCATCAATCCACTTCTGAGAATTAGTACTTTGCATGGCTTAATGAAAGTTGATTGGATCATCTTTCACCAATCCAATGTCATTCTCATGTTCTTGGAGAAATATGATGTAATCATCAGAAATCGCACTTTTCGTTTCTCTAGTGGATCTCCTTAATGACAATTGTTCTTGAGGTTGTTGATTGTGTTCTTCAGGAATAACCTGTTGGCCTTGATCGGGGAGATTTTCAACACTGTCTTGTGGATCTGGTATTGTTTCTTGAACAACATCAGGAATATGAGCCTAATCATTGTCAATAGCAATCGTAGAAAGAGAAACGGATTCCTCTTCAAAGACAAAATCCGTAACCTTATCTCTCCCCCCAAACACAATATGTCCTCAAAGAACCGGTCATTTCCTGTCTCAAAGAATGATCTATATATGGGATCATAAAACTTATACCCCCGAGGTCATTCAAAGTACCCAACAAAATAGTTGCTCACTGTTCTTGAGTTCAGTTTCTTTTCATTTGGCCTAGAAGGCCTTGTTTCAGCTGGACAACCCTAAATGTGTAAATGTTTTATACTGGGCTTCTTGCCCGTCCATAATTCATAACGAGTTTTAGCAACTGCCTTAGTTGGAACTCTGTTAAGAATGTAAGCTGCAGTCTTTAGTGCCTCACCCCAGAGTGAATCTAGTAAGGTAGTATGACTAACCATACTCCTCACCATATCCTTTAATGTTCTATTTCGTCTCTCAGCAACACCATTCATAGTAGGACTTCCTGGCATGGTGTACTATGGGACGATACCGCACTCCTCTAGGAATTTGGCAAATGGCCCTGGATGTTGTTCACCTGATCCATCATATCTACCATGGCATTCACCACCACGGTCAGATCTGACAGTTTTAGTCCTTTTGCCAAGCTGATTCTCAACTTCAGCTTTGAAAACCTTAAACATGTCCAGTGATTGAGACTTCTCATGAATGAGATAAAGGTAGCCATAATGTGAGTAATCGTCTATGAATCTAATAAAATATTGTTGACCATTCCATGAAGCCGTAGAGAATGGCCCAAAAATATCCGTATGTATTAGTTCCAAGACGTCTGAAGATCTATTGGCACCTAATCTCCTTATGTTTGTCTGTTTCCCCTTAATACACTCAATACTGACTTGAAAGTCTGACAAATCAAGAGGATCAAGAATTTCATCTGACACAAGTCTCTCAATTCTTTGTTTAGATACGTGACCTAAACGTTTGTGCCAGAGTGAAGCAGAATTCTCATTTGTTAATTTGCGTTTTGTACCACGTGAACTCACATGCAAGGTTTCATTATAAGAGGCAATAGTATCAAGTAAATAAAGGTTATCATAAAAAGATAAAGAACCAGTACCAACAATATTTGAATTCAACGAAAGACTAAACTGATTATTTCTAAATGAACAAGAGTAACAAAATTTGTCCAAAACAAAAATAGAAATCAAATTTCGTCTAAAAGATGGTACAACATATGTCTCTTTTAAATCCAAATAATATCCAGTCTTTAATAATAACCTACATGTCCCTATAGCCTCAACTTCCACTGATTTGTCATTGCCTACATAGATGAATCTTTCAACATCATTTGGCTTTCAGTAGCTCAGGCAACCCTGCATTAACACACTTATGTGAGTAGTAGCACCAGAATCTATCCACCAAGTGTGTCTTGGTACTGAAGCTAAATTAACCTCAGAACAAACCAAAGTGAGAAGCGTACATTTCTTTGCACGCCAAGCATGATATTTGGTACAATCCTTCTTCATGTGTCCAGGTTTCTTGCAAAAGTAATAGCAAAATTCCTCATCTTGTTTCTTTTGTTGTTTCTTTTGGGCTGGACCTCCTGCAGCTTCTTTGTTCTTCTTCCTTTTCTTGTTATTGTCCTTAGAGGTACTAGCTAAGTGAGCACTTTCTATCTTTTCCTGCTGCAGTCTTTCTTCTTCTTGCAGACAATGAGAAATGAGCTCATTAAGAGTCCATTTGTCCTTTTGGCAGTTGTAACTGACCTTAAACTAACTGAATTGTGCAGGAAGAGAAATCAAAACTAAATGTATGAGTAAATCCTCATATAGTCCTAACTTTAGTGTCTTTAGTTTCGAAGTAAGATGAGACATTTCCAATTGGGACAAACAAAGACATATATTTCCAAATAAGTTGATAATTAAAGATATGACATTCTCACTGGCTTACGTTACTTACTACTGGCTTATATATGTTTGTATGACCTTTTTTCTTTTCTTTTCTTTTTTAATAATAAAAGGATTTTTTTTGGGTTTAAAAACAAATTAATTATCTGAGTGGGCGTAGAGAGGGATATATTTAATTAGCTAACCCGGAATACCAAATATAAATATGTGAAATACCATTCTCAAGTTTATTTAGTCATCAACAGAGTCATTGATCGTTACATGTGGTAAATAACTGTTATTAAAAAGCATGCATGTAATTGTATCGTCAGAAACATGACATTGATATCAATAGTACTCAGCAAATCAGGTGGGCCGGCTATGATCATGATCAGCTCATGCACCAAACTTCTTCTGAAGCTTTTCAACCACATCCTTGTCCAACATGAACGCCTTAGCAAGGACCTCAGGGTTGATGGGAGGGTGGGACCCGAACACGGTGTCAGCGATGGTGATGGTTCCCGCGAATTGGCTGCCGAAACCGACGAAGGCCACGGCCGGGTACTTTCCAATGTTGAACTGAAAGTGAATCATCCCAATCGGGAACACATACACGTCTCCCTTGTGAAGAATCTTCGTAAACAGGCGGTTTCCGTCTTGATTCGACGAAACGAAACCGACGTAGAGCGTGCCCTCGGCGACGAACAGGATTTCGGTGCTGCGCGGGTGGGTGTGAGGTGGGTTCTGCCCGTAAGGCGCGTAGTCGATGCGCGCCAGTGACACGCCGAGAGTGTTGAGCCCCGGAATGTTGTCGACATTCACCATGGTTACGTTGGAGCCAACGGCGTTGTTTGTGTCTCTGGGGATGTTTAGCCCTGAGAAGAAGAAGTCCTCTGCCTTCACCAGCTCAGGATTCTTGCAGAATTTCCCGTTCACAAACACTGATCATATGAAATGATTAATTGAATTTACAGTAGTTAGAGAAACCAAGAATGAAAACTACTGGAAATTATATCAAAAGTCATGAAATAATTAATCGTATTAGTCTGTTCTTAGAGGATATAATATACTTATGCTTTAATGTTCTTCTCTTGCTTTTCTTATGTTTGTGGTACTAGACGATATCCACCGGATTCTATATATATATATATATTGCTTAAACATAAAATAAAATAAAAATAAGAAAATTAAAACTATCCACTCTTTCTTCCACGAGTAGAGATGAATAACTTAGTGTGACCGTTGGCAAGGAACTAGAATAAAATAAAGAGATAAATATGGAACGATAACACTTACAAACATGTTTAGGGTCATCAATTGCTACACAGAAGTCCTGGAGAGGGCCAGGGTCGTAGGCACATGCAATGTAAGTTGCCATAGCCAAAGCAACGAGTGCCAAAACGAAATTAACACTATTAATCTTCGTCATCCCTAATTAATCTCTGCGATATGTGTCTCTATATAATAATACTTTATTTGAGAGAGAAGTGATCAAGCTTGCTTGCCTGTTATGTCTATTTATACATGAGGGAGCTCATGAATATGCATTGAGTAAGTTTTTAAATTTCCGACAGAATATCGCTTTCAACAGGGTCTCTACGTACACCCGTTCTTTTTTAATTATTTTTGAAGGAATCGAATGTGATTAAAAAAGGTAATATGATATATCCATATTCGAAAAATAAAATCTTGTCTAGATGCGTATTTGTTTAAGTACATGATTGATTAACATATATATTCTCAATTACAAAATAGGCTTATAGATTTCTGTCTTTTCGAATTATATAGATCTTATCATGAAAAGATTTCATGACATATAGTGTTTAGTTGTTACGAGGTGTCTTTCAAAGAATTAATGTTCTTTTGTTTCAATGTTTGCCACTTAAATGAATTATTTTTCCCCTATCGACTTTTTGTTGTTGACGTATCATCTTATACATTCTATGATTAGTTTAATTGTTATGCCCGTAAAATGGTATTATTTCTACTCAAATCACTAAATATTGATGGTGGGACTCACTAAGTACTTTTTTCATCATGATTTTCCTCTATTTTATTCGTCTTTTTTACCGAAAAACTGATTGCGATTTTTTTCACCCATTAATTATATGCTTCTTAACCAATTTATTCCTAACAAAGGGTTAACTTATATAAGTCGCCATGCCTAGACTCCATCAGCAATAGAGGATGCATAAACTACGGCACTTTATTAAGAAAATTTCATTTCAGTACTATATATCTATAACGCACTAATATTTTTAAATTCTTCTTCTTCAAAATCAAATATATATGGGTGTAGTTTTAATGGTTACTCGAATATTTATCTATTAATTGGTATTGTTATTTTAACCGTAAGATATTAATCCGACGGTTGTAATAAATTAGATAGTTGATCAAAAAAGTTAATGACAGTTAATGAAATTGGATTCTTATCACGTCACGTCTTTAAATTTTCATATTTAATAGTAACTACCGATAAAAACGTAACCATTGAAAATAAGTATATATATATATATAAATTCCTATATCTATCTACATCTTATCACCTTTTAATTACTTGTACCGTTTTACGTCAAATTCTCTTGTTCATGTTTTTTGAACCTTTTCCTTTCTTTTCTGATAGGCCTCTCTATTAGTAAGGTCAGTGTTTAATTGTTGGATCAATTATGATCACATAAGATTAAAAAAAACTGAAATAGTAGAAAATAAGCTAACATAAAAAGCTTAAGAAAGTATATAGGCCAACTTTTAGGTATAGAAATTAATAGGCCATAACTTGTCAAGTTATGGTTCATAACCAGATAAGTTATGGACCAACTTATCAAGTTATGGTTCATAACCAGACAAGTTATGGATAAAAACTGTGAATAACTTGTCAAGTTATGGTTCATAACCAGAAAAGTTATGGACAAAAACAGTAATTTGGCCTATTTATTAACTTAGGTAAACTATTGGTCTATTGATTTTAATTTATCTCAAGTCTTGGTTTATTTCTCACTTTCTCCCTAAGAAAAAACACGCTGGACAAACTGTTGGGTTCCGCCCCATTTGTGGGCTGGAACAAAGAATGGGCCTTAAGCCCAAATGCCAAAAAAAAAAAAAAGAAAGGTTGCTACTCACATGGGTAGCACACCAGAAAAAAGAGAAAAGAAAAGAGTAAGGAGAATCGGGGGTGCAGAGGGCAGCTGAGAAAACCAGAGAAAAAGAAGGGAAGAAAAGGAGAGAGAGAAAGAGAAAAAGGGGTAGGGTTTTAGTACTTGTGCAAGACGATTGGGTGGCGAAATGTTGTCGGTTTTAGCTCAAATTTGATATGGAGAATCCTTGTGGCTAGCTCTTCCAATCTACTGGACTTGATTTCTCATTTAACCTCTCTTTAGTACTCTCTTGAGTACTCCTAATTTGGTGAGACCTAAGCTTTTCTTTGGTATTATTGTTATTATCCATATTTGATGATGATGTCTATATTGTTAGTGAACCAAGAATAGTGTTTCTTGATGATATTATTGTTGTGAGCCTCTAGTTTGATTCTAGAGAGAAACTTTGTAATCCCATTGTTAATATAGTGGAAGAAATTTAAGTGGCCTAAAGGTCCCGTGGTTTTTACTCTCAATTTGAGAGGTTTTCCACGCTAAAAATTGGTGTTTCATTTGTGGTTGATTATTTTGATTAATTGGTGCATTAGTTGTTTGACTTTGTTGGCATTTTGTTTGAGATCATTTTTTATCACACAAATAGGGAAAGTCTTATTCCGCAATTATTAGTATTAATTTTCCCAACAAACTGGTATCAGAGACTTTGGTTGGCTAGAGGCTAATTCTTGTGTGTTGAAATTGAAGAACAAAATTCGTAGGGGATGATAAAATTAACCTCATCGAATTATTCCATTTGGAAGTGCAAAATGCAAGATTTTCTTATTGTTAAAAATTTGTATGGGCCTGTTATGGGCAAGTCAAAGCCAAAAAAAATAAGTAATGATGATTGGGAAACATTACACATGAAAGCTGCTGCTACGATTAGATAATGGGTTGATATTAATATTTTTAATCACTTTTTTGAAGAAATGAAAGCCGATGCACTTTGAAAGAAATTAGAGGCTATGTATGAGAAGAATACCTCCAGAAAGAAAGCCTCGATCATTAGAAGACTTGTGAATTTAAAGTACAAAGATGGAAAAAGTATGACTGAGCATACTAGTGATTTCCAAGGCTTGGTGAACCAATTGGCCACAATGAAAATGCCTCTTGAAGATGAGTTGCAGGCATTGTTACTTCTTAGCTCTTTGCCTGACAGTTGGGAAACGTTAGTGGTATCACTAAGCACTTCAGTGCCTAGAGGAAAGCTAACCATGGAGATGGTTAAAGAAAATTTGTTGAGTGAAGAAGCCAGAAGAAAGGAAAAGGGTGAATCTTCTTCTAAAGTACTTGTTTTTGAAAAACAAGAAAGGCGTGGAAGAAGTAAAAGTAGGCATTCTCAGGGTCATGGCAAAAAGGATACATTCAGGGGAAAATCTAAAAGCATGAAAAATGTCAAGTGTGAAGAAAGATAGCATAATTTAGAAAAGAGAACAGGGTGAAGGAAATAAAGATGAGAGAAAGACTAATACAGTAGCCGCCGAAGGTGATGTTACCATCATTTGTGATGATAGTTGTGTTAGTCTTGTGTGCCAGGAAAGTGATTGGGTGATTGATTCTGGCACCTCATTTCATGTTACTCCTCATGGTGATTTCTTCACTTCTTACTCTACTGGTGATTTTTGCAATGTCAAAATGGGAAACAGTGGTGCCTCTAAAATTGTGGGCATTGGAGATATTTGCTTGGAAACTATTCTTGGAAGCAAGTTGGTACTCAAGGATGTTAGGCATGTTCCGGATATTCACCTAAACTTGATCTCCATAGGCAGGCTTGATGATAAGGGTTTTACTAGTTATTTTGGTGAAAGTAAGTGGAAGCTCACCAAAGGTTCTCTAGTGGTTGCAAGAGGAAAGAAAATGAATACACTCTATGTCATGCAAGCTAAGCTTCACAAAGGAGAGATAAATGTTTTTCAAAAGGGTGCAAGCATTGATCTATGGCACAAGAGGCTTGGCCACGTCAATGAGAAATGATTACAACTTCTTGCTAGAAAGTAATTCCTGCCTAGTTTACAAGGTATGCCTCTTAAAACTTGTGTTGATTGTTTCGCTGGAAAAACACATAGAGCTGCATTTCATTCACACCCTCCATCTAGAAGATCAAATATTCTTGATTTGATTCATACTGATGTATGTTCTATGCAAGCAAAAACTCTTGGAGGTGCATTCTACTTTGGGACTTTCATCGAGACCATTCAAAGAAAGGTTTGGGCTACTGCTTTGAAAACTATAGACCAGGTGCTTGATGTCTTTAAAGAATTTCATGCCAAGATTGAAAGAGAAATAGGAAAACAGTTGAAATCAGTTCGCACTGATAATGGTGGTGAGTACAGGGGACCGTTTGAGAATTACTGCAGACTCCATGGAATCAGGCTTGAGAAGACTCTAGCAAAGACACCTCAGCTTAATGGTGTAGCGGAGAGAATGAACAGAACAATTGAAGAAAGAATCAGGTGCATGCTTTCTCACGCAAAGCTTCCTAAGTCCTTTTGGGGGAGGCCATGAGAACTGCATTCGATTTGATTAATCTTTCTCCAGCAGCTGCCTTGGATGGTGATGTTCCAAATAGAGTTTGGACTGGGAAAGATGTCGCTTATGATTACTTGAGAGTTTTTGGCTGCAAGGCGTTCGTTCATATTCCTAAAGATGGGATATCCAAGCTTGATGATAAGGCAAAACCGTGTATTTTCTTGGTGAAGTTACCTAAAGGCAAGAAAGCATTAAAAAACAAGTGGGTTTACAGGTTGAAAACTGAGAACAATAGCTCACAACTAAGGTACAAGGCAAGGTTAGTTGTGAAGGGGTTCGGTCAGAAGAAAGGTGTCGACTTTGAAAAAATATTTTCTCCCGTTGTGAAGATGTCATCCATCATAGTTGTTCTTGGTCTAGCTGGCCGCTTGAATTTAGAGGTAGAGCAACTTGATGTAAAAACTGTGTTCCTTCACAGTGACTTAGAAGAGGAAATTTTTATGGAGCAACCATAAGGGTTCAAAGTTAAGGGAAAATAGCATCTTGTGTGCAAGTTGTGGAAGAGCTTGTATGGGCTCAAACAAGCACCAAGACAGTGGTACAAAAAGTTTGACTCTTTCATGATGAGTCATGGGTACACTAGGACTTCATCTGGCCATTGTGTGTTCATTAAGAAACACTCCAGTGATGATTTCATCATCCTTCTGCTATATGTTAATGATATGTTGATCGTTGGCCATGATGCTAGCAAGATTGAGAAGCTAAAGAGAGAGTTAAGTAAGTCTTTTGCCATGAAAGACTTGGGATCGGTGAAACATATACTTGGTAT